CTTGACGAATATCTTTGTGGTGTTCTCTGTATTTCCTGGACTTGAATGTTTGCCCGCCTTGCTAGGTTGGGGAAGTTTTCCTGGATAATATCCTGAAGAGTATTTTCCAGCTTGGATTCATTCTCTTTGTCGCATTCGGGCACACCTATCAAACATAGATTAGGTCTTTTCACATAGTCCCACATTTCTTGGAGACTTTGTTCATTCCTTTTTACCCTTTTTTCTCCAGTCTTGCCTTCCCGTTTTATTTCATTGAGTTGATCTTCGACCTCTGATATCCTTTCTTCTGCTTGGTCCATTCGGCTGTTGATACTTGTGCATGCTTCACGAAGTTCTCGTGTTGCGTTTTTCAGCTCCATCAATTCACTTATATTCCTTTCTATTTTGTCCATTCTTGTTAGCATTTCGTCAAATCTTTTTTCAAGGTTCTTAGTTTCTTGGCATTTGGTTAGAACATGTTCTTTAAGTTCACAGAAGTTTCTTACTACCCACCTTCTGAAGTCTGATTCTGTCATTTCATCACACTCGTTCTCCCTCCAACTTTGTTCCCTTGCTGGTGAGGAGTTGTGATCCCTTTTAGGAGGAGAGGTGTTCTGGTTTTGGGTGTTTTCATCTTTTTGCGCTGGTTTCTTCCCATCTTTAAGGATTTATCCACCTGTCGACTTTGTAGTTGCTGGCTTTCAGATTGGGTCTCAAATCTTTCAGATTGACGTTCTGTTTGTTGATGATGAGGTTATTTCTGTTTCTTGGTTTCCTTCTGACAGTCTGGCCCCTCTGCTGTAGGTCTGCTGAGGTTTATTCCAGGCCCTGCTTGCCTGGGGTTCACCTGCAGCAGTTGCTGAACAGCAAGGGTTGTTACCAGTTTTCTTCTTCTGCTATCTTTGTCCCAGAAGGATACCCGCCTAGTGTCAATCTGATCTCTCTTTTATGAGGTGTCTTTTTGGATATATAGGCGTCAGGGAGCTGCTTGAGGAGACGGTCTCTTCTTTATAGGAGCTCAAACGGTGAGCTGCAAGCTCTGTTGTTGTTCATTCAGAGCTGCTGGGCAGGTACTTTTAGGTCTGCTGTAGCAGTACTCATAAACTGCTTTTTGTTCCCAGGTGCTCTGTCCCAGGGATTTAGGGCTTTATTTATGAGTTTCCGTTATGCTGCCGCCTTCTTTTTTTTTTTTTTCCCCCTTCAGACCTGCCCAGCCCAGCAAGGAGGCAGCCTAGTCACTGTCGGCCTATAGCAGCCTTGCTGAGCTGCTGTGGGCTCCGCCCAGCTGCCTAGTGAACTTCCCTGCAGTCCTGTTTATATGGGTGTAGTTAGAACTGCTTTGGGGATGGTGGCCCGCCTTTGTTGGGGCGGAGTCTCTGCTGTGGCGGGTTGCCTTGGCAACGGCACGCTGCCTCAGCAATGGTGGGTTGCCTTGGCAACGGCGGGCTGCCTCGGCAATGGCGGACGCCCCTCCCCCACAGAGCTGGACTGTCCCGGGTTCAGCTGCACTCGCTGTGAAAGTCTCAATCCAGAGTTTCTGGTTGCTGTTCTCTTGTGGGGGTGGGACCAGCCGAGCCTGATCGCCTGGCTCCCTGCCTCAGAGCCTTTTTTAAGTTGGTGTTCCAGTCGCCTGTTGAAGAGGCGCCGGGGTCTGTTTGTTTTCCCCTGCGGCCACTCACTGCGCTGGCTTAAACAGCAGCACTGAGGTTTGTGGCGCTTTTTTTTTGTTTTTTTCCCCTGGAATCTACTGTCCTGGTTCTCTGCTCAGTCCCCTTTTTGAACCGGCGTACGGGCGACTTCCCGTGGCTCCAATCACCAGCCTAAAGGGCACCCGGACCGGTGTATTTTGTACAGAGAACCGCGGCTCCGGGGCGCCGACAAAGCAGCCGCGCAGGGCAAAGCAGCGGCGCTGGCCGGCACAGCCTCGCTGGCCGAAACAGCCGCGCTGGCGACCGTGGAGCACCTCTTCCCGGGAATTTCCTAGTCTGTGGGCAATAAAAATGCGTCATCCACTCACCCTCTGCGCTTTCACTGGGAGCTGCAATCCTGAGCTGTTCCTAAACGGCCATCTTCCTATTTCTGTTTTTTTAAGTTTTTCTTCTAACAGGCTGCTCTGCTGCAGGTCTGTTAGAGTTTGCTGGAGGTCCACTCCAAACCCTGCTTGCCTGGGAATCACCCACGGGGGCTGTAGAACAGCAAAGATTGCTGCCTATTCCTTCCTCTGGTAGCTTCATCCCAGAAGTGTACCCGTCAGATGTCAGCCTGTGCTCTTCTGTATGAGGTGTCTCCCAGTCAGGATAAATGGGAATCAGGGAGCCACTTGAAGAGGCAGTCTGTCTCTTATCAGAGCTCAAGTGCTGTGCTGGGAGATCTGTTGCTCCTTTCAGAGCTCGGTTGGAAATATGGAGATCACTGGCCTTCTAGCTTGCTCTAGCTGGGAATTGCGGGCCAAAGCTGTTCCTATTCGGCCATCTTGGTGGAAGTCCCAAACTTCACTGAGGCATTTTTTTAAAGCACCTGAGTGCTTCTAACATGCAGGCAGCTTTGGGACTCCCTGCCATAGATGAAGTCCAAGATGCTGGCTGCCACCTGCTCATGCCAGTGCAAGTTGCAGTTAAGTGGGTCTTAGAATGCTTCCTTGCTAGAGAAATAAGGCAAACTGTTCATCCATTTCTTGGCAGGCTATAACCTAGGTTACTGTGGGGAGAGAAAGTAGAAGTTTTCATGGGAGAAATAGAGAAGATAGGTGTTTTATGCAGGGACCGATGCAATTACTACTCCAGCTTCAGGCTTCACTGCTCTCTCCTTCCCAGCATCTGTGTGGTTTTTCCTGGCTCTCTGCTTGGCTCTCTCAGGTGCAGAACAGGTGGGACACTGACCTGTCTTGTTTTGCCCCTGGCTAGGTGGAGGTGGGGAGCAGCCACCCACAACAGGCCCAAAGGTGGAGGAGGGCTCAGAGGCTGTGCTCTCCAAGCACAGGAGTGTATTTCACATCGAGTGGTCATCCATTCGGAGGAGGAGCAAAGGTGTGCATTTCCTCCCCCTCACGCTTGGATCCCTGCTTTCCTAGTCTCTAACAAAACAGGGACAATGGCAATACCTACTTCACAGGGTGGTGGGGACACCCACTGGAGTCAGACTTGACCTCTCACACCTGACCTCTGACCAAAGCCACAGTTCTCTGGATGTGTCTGGATGCCCCCTGGGTCTTGGAGAGACTGGCGCTGGGACAGGCAGTGAGCTTCTGGGGTCTCAACTTGGCTGCACATTGGAATCACTGGGATCCCACCTCCAGTGACTCATTTAATACACCTGTGGAGCAGCCTGGGTGGGCATCAGGAGCTTTTAAAGCTCTCCAGGAGATTCTAACTTGCCACCACATCAAAAACCACTGGTCTAGGAGGCCAGAGATGGAAAGTTCCCACCTATGGCAATGGTGGGGAGGCCAGGGGCACAGGGAGAGACCCATGGTGGGGACAGGGCTGCCAAAGGCCAGGAAGAGGGTATCCAAGGCTGCTAAAGCTGAACAGGTGGAGAAGCCAGAAACTTGGGTGTGGAAGCTGAGAATGTGTGGCAGCAAACGGGAGTCTAGGGGGAATTCCTCAGCCAGCTGCAAGGTTGGAGCAGCCTTATGAAGATCCAGGACACAGAGGCAATCTAATCCCAGAGACGCCCCCAACCCCCAGAGAGGGGGCAGAATTGCCCAGAGTCACACAGCAAGCTAGGGCCACTGCTGGGAATAAAAGTGATTCCCAAGTTAGTGCAGTATCACATGCTCCCCAGAAGATGCCTTAGTGACCTTCCTCCTCCAGTTCCCCCAAGTCTCATTGTTTCATACCAAAAGTCAGCCAGCCCAGAGAAATGGACCTCGAATGATTTTGGGAAAAGACACGGGGTGGGGAGGGCATTGCCTAGAACACTGCCTGTCTCAAAGGCCCCTGCAGCTCAGGAGTTTGTCTTTGACAGGGGTCCCTCAGCAGAGTGTGGAAGAGACCATGGTTTGCCTCAAAGGCTTAATAACTTCCTCCTAACATCATCATAGGATAGGGGCTGGTGTCGGAGAGAGCATGGTAGAGCACCCTGCAGCACCAGCAGAGAGGAGCTTCAGACAGAAGCAGCGGGTCAGTGCGCATATCACACACAGGCCTCAAAGTTCAAGGGATCCTCTCTGCTTCCTCTTCCTTTCAAAGCTTTCAAAATGAATGTGTTTCTCCTGAATGGTGTCACCTCCCAACCACACTGGTATCTGCAGTCCCTGCTCCTTCAGAAGTGGGAACACAGTGTCTCTGATGCATCCCTTCTAGTGTTTTGACACCCTGACAACTCATGAGTGCAGAACCGGGTGGGGGGATCAGGCAATTCAGTCTGAAAACAGTGTTGTCAGAGCCCAGCCTGCTCTTCTCACACTTGACCACAGGAGGGAACCAAAGCATCAAGGCCAAAACTTCCAAGGGCCTGAACATCTTTCATGATGCATAAAACCCTACTGAAATTGGTCGTCTCTAAACATAAATTACCTGTAATAACAAAATATATATATATGTTTAGAGCCACATCATAAGAGTTTTCTAGAATTACAAGGGCTTACCAAAATCTGCTTCAAGTGATTACATGGATATCTCTTGTCCTAATCCAACCAGCCATTGCTACTAAAATACCTTTAAAAAAAGAACAGCCCGAGGTTATTCAGGTAAGGAGAGTCATGGCCAAATTCAAACAGATCATGCGTGGCTCACGGCTTAGGCAGCTTCATACTTTGTGAACAGGAAATGAAGGGCTTCACCAACATCTAAGTTTGTTTTTTTGTCGTGGCTGTTTTTTGTTTACCTGCAAGTTCCCCATGTGGAACAGGAGCAAGAACCCTGGATTCAGGGATCACACATAAGTCACTGTCCCTCCAGGTTGCTGTTTCCTCATCTAAAAAAATATCAAGGTTGAGCTAAATGAGGGCTTCTTAATTAAAAGTTAGTGGAATCTCTGAGCTCCCTAAATTCCTTGTAAAATGCCCTGTTGATATGAATATGTATAGTTTTTTCCCCAAAGGAAGGGCCCAGATGCATCCATGCCCAGTAAAAGAACAAAAGAGCCTTCCAGCTGCAAGGCTAGGCGATTCTGTGCCTCATCAGGAGGAACAGAGAATACTGCATAGTCTAACAGCTCTTGAGACTCACAGGACATTAGCCTCTGAGGTGCCAGAGTAGAGGTGTCCTAACTGATGATGCTCTTTCCTTCTAACTCCAGTGTTTGGGAAAGGCGAACACCAGGAGAGACAAACCAAAGACCCGTTTCCCTGTCAATACCGGAAGCCCACAGTGGAGCTGCTTGTGAGTACTGAGTGTTCTAAATCGGGGACAGCGCCCTGCAGTCACAGAGCCCACAGCAGATGAGGGAGCTGAGAGCTGAAAACGATGCTCTCCAATTTAGGCAAACTTCACTAGAATCATATTTGCCAAAATGTAATTACCTGAGACAAAAATGTCTTTTTCGCGGTTTACTTTGTGACTTTTCATATTCCTTTTATTTGACTTATTTATTATCAGGCTTCCTTTAAACCCAGTATTCAAGCATTTAGGAAATAAGCTGGTGCCCATTTTCAAAAACAGAATCCTTACATGTTCAATTTCATACCCTTATGTTTATGAGCAGTTACATCTTAAAGACTAGACATGCTAGAGAGAAAGCCATTTCTTCCAGAAAGTATAGTACGGTAAGAGTAATGTTTTTTAAAAAAAAGACTAAAAATCTGTAGTGAATCTCAGTTCTCCTGTTTGACCTTTGAAAATGAGAACCACCACATGCTGGAATCCTCATCCACAAAATGAGAATAAGCATGTTATCTTATTGTACCTCACGGTAGTAAACCTATCAGATGAGGTATTGTGTCAAACAAAAGACAGTCTAATCTACAGAAACAGAAGGTTAAATAGCAATTTAGTGAAATACCAAATGAAAATCTTACGTGGTCCCTGAGTGACCACAAACATGAATTCTCAGTGTAAGAACCACTGGATGTGGGGGCCTCCTGCCTATCTCTGTCCTGGACAGGATCTGGACACCATGGAGGAGAGCTCTGAGATAAAAGTGGAAACAAACACCTCCAAGACATCCTGGCTTCGGAGTTCCATGGCTGCTGGTGGGAAAAGGGTCAGCAAAGCCCTCAGCTACATCACAGGAGAGATGAAGGAGTGTGGAGAGGGACTCAAAGGTAAAATCTATCAGAGCAACCCTGACCCTCACCCTAAAAAGGTCACCTCCACCCATCCCCAGAAAGCCCTTTGCCATGGGGGTTCCCTATTGACTAGATTTAGACTAGACTGAGCTCCATGACTGTGGTCTTTCCTGGAAGCTGGGGGTTTTGCCATTAAAACAGACATACAGCCTCTTGGAATATAAAGAGTAATCCATAAGAGTGTGAGCTCATGAGCTCTTATTTCTGAACACAACAGTTCTGCTGTCTCCAGTATCCCATCTGAATATTGCAGATGGGTGTTTTTTGCACTGGGATTCTAGAGCCAGCGTTCTAAACAAACACCATCTGGATGGCTCATGGGAGAACTACCATGCCAATAGGTGCTCTTTAGCTGTCTTTGCAGAGCTCAGGCCATGCGTTTAATGCCCTCTATGCAGCAAGAGCATTTTCTTGAAAACCCATGGTACCATTGTAGGGGCAGAGAGCGTTCAGGGTTCCTAATCTCCCCTGCCAGAAAAACAACCTGAAGGTCACATCCGGCTGGCAATGGGTCTCAAGAGTTTTCTGGGCAGTCAGATGTTCTCTTGGGTTCTTTGTTCACTGTCTTTGCTGGCAGGTGACAGCAGGTGGCTCCCTGCAAACCCACGCTGGATATCTAGATTCCCTCACACCCTCCGCCTGCTCACCTAGGGCCTCCCACAGTGAGCTCCTGCCTACATCCTGCCCCGGTTCCATTTCAGACAAGTCCCCAGTGTTCCAGTTCCTTGACTGGGTCCTCCGAGGCACATCTCAGGTGATGTTTGTGAACAACCCCCTCAGCGGCATCCTCATCATCCTCGGCCTCTTCGTTCAGAACCCCTGGTGGGCCATCTCGGGCTGCCTGGGTACCATCGTGTCCACTTTGACAGCCCTCATCCTGAGTCAGGACAAGTAAGTGCCAGAGGCTCAGAGTCCAAGCATGCAGCCAAGAAGTCCTCCCTGCGGGGACCATTCTTCCTCTTCCCAGCTCAGCAACCCTGCAAAATAAGGACACTGATAACTAAAAATGACTGCTTCCTGGTTATTTTTTCATAGCAACATGTGGTCTTGAGAAATATGAAGGATTCATGGGGTGGTCTTCCCCCCTCACTCCCAGAAGGGTGGTCTATTTAAAGGCGTGTGGAGTCAGACCCCAGATAAAAAGAATCTGACTCAGTAGGAAAATTTAAAAGGCCCTGGGGAAGCCCCTGCTCCACCTGCCCCTCCCTCTCCCGCCAGGTCGGCCATCGCAGCAGGACTTCATGGCTACAACGGGGTGCTGGTGGGGCTGCTGATGGCCGTGTTCTCAGACAAAGGTGACTACTACTGGTGGCTGCTGCTCCCCATCATCGTCATGTCCATGTCTTGGTAAGTTTACTTTTGAGGGGTTGTGGGTTCATACCAAAGGCCACCGCCCTTTTCAGCCCGACCCCATGACCGTCTGTCTAAAAGCAAGGCTGAAGTAGTGTGTATTTGGCTTGCACATCAGAAATGCCCACTGGAAATTATGACTACGTTTATACCATGGCAGTCCCATGCTAGGTCTATATACAGTATCCCATTAGCAACCACCTTTTAGCAATTTTTCTTTAAAATTAAAGGGTGTTTGGTCTCATCCTGCCAGAGACCAGAGAAAGAAACTGAGGCCCACACTGGTTAAGAGCTACACTATAGGGTCCTGTCAGTTTCTAGAACTCTTTTCAACCCTCCCCCACCCCAGCTTTTCTAAATCCCTGGGACTCCTGGGCAGACCAAAACCACCTCCCAGGGTAGGCTGAAGACCCAGCCACAGGCGAGCCACCAGTGCCTGCTCTACCCCATGTCGAGAAAACACAGGGCACCCTGGCCACAAAGCCAGTCCACATGGCCACTCAAAAAACATTTGTTGAATGAATGTGATTCCCTCCCCTCTGCTTCCCCAAGCTGCCCTCCTCCTGATGCCTGGGGGTGGAGCTATAGGACTCCTCAAGGAAGATCTGAGGCCACCTGCCTTATATCTCCTTCTGAAGTTGAGTCTGGGCACCCCATCCTGTCACTATGCAGGGAGGAGAAGGCCCAGGGGAAGAACTGCTCAGGGCCAGTCAGGCTCCAGAGAATACCCAGCGGGCTGCTTTTCTCTAGGGAGCACAGGAAGCCCCCACTGAAGCACAGTCTCATGTTAGGACCAGGCAGCTTCCTGACCAGCATCTCTCATGCTTCTGCCACCAGCCCCATCCTCTCCAGTGCCCTGAGCACCATCTTCAGCAAGTGGGACCTCCCAGTCTTCACACTGCCCTTCAATATCACTGTGACTTTGTACCTGGCAGCCACGGGCCACTACAACCTTTTCTTCCCCACAATGCTGCTGCAGCCTGCATCCGCGGTGCCCAACATCACCTGGTCAGAGGTCCAAGTGCCCTTGGTAGGTATCATGGAAGGAGGAAGGGCAGTGTCTGCCCATACTGGAGGTTAGTGGTGTTTGCATATTTTGCACATCAGAAACATCTACAAGTAATCATTGTTAACAATTACACAGTTCCAGGCACTCTGCATACATATCTCATGAGCTACCACCCTCTTGTGCTTCTGAGAGCAAAAAGGGTTAGTTCTGGTCCCACCCTATGATAGCACAGAGAAAGAAACTGAGGCTGAGTTAAGAGACCTGCCTTAGGTCTTACAGCCAATCAGGGAGGAGCAAAGTCAAGACTAGAACTCCCGCCTCCTGACTTCCAGGCCAGGGCTCTTTGTAGATGTTTAGAAAGTCTTTTTGATGCTTACAGCTTACATTGTGCATTTTTTTTTCATCCAGTCACCCAGAATCATTCAAGTCATACACACCATGCTACCATCTATTGGCTTAAGAAGTCACTGTTCCAGCCTCCAGAGTTTATTCCCTTCACTCTCCAAAGCTTGCTCACATTTTAAAGCACAGGTGTTCCTTCATTAAGAAACATATAACAGAGCTTTTAAAGTTTTTAAAAATAAGTATTCTGTATATAAGCCTGACCTCCAGAAGTCAGCCAAGGTGATTAATAAGAAGCTGTACTCACAGCATTAAGTCAGCTTGGAGAAATGTGCCCATTAGCTGCCTTATCTATCAGGCACGTTTTCTCCGAGGCCCTCCTGCTTTCCGTTACGTGAACGGCCCCACGGTCTGGCACTTACTCTGAGACTTTGTTATTGGCAACTCATCACCTGACCACAGAGTCACTTGGGCTTGTTGAAGGAACTTTCTCTGAAATAATGTTGCCTCATTTCTCTTAGCCTTCCTTCCACAGTAGGCAACAGCATGGTGTAGCAGAAAGAGCCCTGAATTTACTCTGAGAAGCACCAGTATTTAGCAAGAAAACTATTTGATTAGGTGGCTTTCGCTTTGTTTTGGAGACAGAGTCTCACTCTATCCCCCAGGCTGAAATGCATGACACAATCACAGCTCACTGCAGCTTCAAACTCCTGGGCTCCAGTGATCCTCCTGCCTCAGCCTTGTGAGCTGCTGGGACTACAGGCATACACCACCAGGCCCAGTTAATTCTTTAGATTTTTTGTAGAGATGGGCTCTTGTCATGTTGCCCAGGCTGGTCTCAAACCTCTGGCCTCGAGAGGTCATCCCACCTCAGCCTCCCAAAGTGCTGGGATTATAGGCGTGAACCATTGCACCTGGCTGAGAACTATTTGTGTTAGTTGCATCCTTGTTTGTTAATTATTTTGTATGTGTGAGGACCTTCTCGGACCAGAAACAAGAAAAGGTGCTGCACTGGCAGTTCAGCTTCCTAAGCTGCCCGTTCTTAGTGTACCCAATTAATATCTTCTGGAGACGAACTTGGTCTAAGTGGTGTGCTATGGGGAGAGGACGTTAGAAAATGCAGATTTTAGATATTTCATTCTCTATGTCACAATTTCAGTTGAGAAGACATTTTGAAATTTTATAGAAATGGAAAAAAGGGATAATCCTGTACAAACACTTTAGACAATTCCCCCAACCCCGCCAACCTTCCAGGAAAGAGAAATTCAATTTTGTGGCATTGTTCTTTAAGAAGTTACTTTCTGGCCAACTGGGTTATGACAATGATTCATACGTTTTGTCTTTTTGGCCTTTAAAATTAGAGCCTTCTGTTTCTGATAAATAAGTGGTGAATGTCACAGGGAGTGTCTAAACTTCCCAGCAATGTTGAGTCCCCACGGGTTCCTCTGCTCTTGTGGCCAGTGAGAGCCCCCCTGAAGAGTGCAACTGGCTGGGGACAAAACTGCCCATGTTGCTGCCTCTGTGTACAACTCTCTCTCTCCTGTCCCCCTTGCCCTGCATAGTGAGGCCAGAGCCCTCGTTCTCTTCTCTGTACTGGGTAACACGAGACTGAGCCCACAGCCTAACCCACTCCGCCTGTGTCCTGTACCCACACACTAACTGTGGCATGAGGGCCCCAGCGCTGCAGAATCTCCCTCCCCTGCCGTGTCCAGCTGCAAGAGTTCTCTAGAGAAGACCTATACACAGGCTCACCCAGGGACACTGCCTCTCCTCAGCTTCCTGCCCAAGGGCCTTGGCCAGGCCCTCCAAAACACAGTCCCTGTGGCTGGGGAAGCTGGCATTTCCAGGATCCTCTTTCCAAACTCTAGGACCCTTATGCAGTTCCCCACAAGGCACCAGACTCTTTCAAGTGCTTTTCCATTCACAAGACAGGCCCCACCAGACCCAGAGATAGATGGAAGACTGAATCCAGCAGGGTGCTCCGGGGCTTTACTCATCAAAACAGCAGATGCTGGGTGATACTACCTTCTCCTGGCCGAGTCTATGGACACTAGTCCCAATTCCTCCCGCAGACCTTACTAACACAATCACACCCCAAACATGTTGTTCTTGAAAACATACAGGGCCATTTTTCTGTCTAATATTTTGTCTTCTAATGATCTTTTTAGCTTTAAGAAAAAATTCACAAAGGTTTTTTTAACTCCAACTTTGATCAGTATATATTACTTTTCTAATGAACAGCACTCTACTTTGAAAGGTTTTCAGTTTCTCTTCCCCAGGGGATAAGTGCCTCACACTCATATTTCTAACTAAAGGAAACTCAATATCCTAATCCATCATGTTCTAAGAACTCAAGATTAAGATAATAAAGCTTTTGTTCCTTTTAGAATTAACCTATTTGAATAGAAATAGAAATCTTGGAAATTTGTTGCAAAACGTGAGTGGGGAGGGCTCGGCGGCAAGTCTTTTGCAGCCAAGGTCAGGTTGTCTCTATTGCCTCCATAATAAGCCTGTAATCCTGTTGTGCCTACAGCTTTTGAGAGCCATCCCCATTGGAATTGGCCAAGTGTACGGCTGTGATAACCCCTGGACTGGAGGCATCTTCCTCATAGCTCTGTTCGTATCCTCACCTCTCATTTGCCTGCACGCCGCAATTGGATCCACCATGGGGATGCTAGCAGGTCTGTGTCCTTACTTCCCTGAGGTTAGAGGGTGAGGGGGTTAGAGCCTGGGGCCGGCTTCAAATAAAATGGTTGCTCTCACAACACTCCACCTGCTGATTCCCGTGAACTCTCTCCTTCTGCTGTCCCTTGTTTCTCCATTTTTGGTCTAGTCCTTTCACCCTCCCCTGAGCCACAGCCGCCCTCAAGAAAGGTTTTGGTATTAGTCATTTATACCTTAGTCTACATTTAAAGTTTGGGAGTGTATTCCAGGCATATTTTCATGTTAATCATCTCCAATGACAACAAGAAAGAGTCATTCTCCATTAGAGAATTAAGGTATCAGTGACAAAGGAGAGGTTCTCTTTCTTGGCAGGGAAAGGATATTCTCTGGGCTGTTTAAATCAGACTTCTGTCCCTATTCAAAGAATCTCTTCAAACATTCAAAAATGCCAGCTTAACTGCTAGTATTCATGGGGGTCTATGGCCATTTGTTTCTTTAGATGTTTAAGAATAAAGCCAGAAGTCTTTTTTGTATAACTACTTAAAAAGATAACTGGCTCTGGGCCTTGAGGACTGTGGTAGGTTTCAAGGCCAGCACATGGGCGCCGTAAGACCCCAGACTCAACCCTGATGCCTGCCTTCTCTCACAGCGCTCACTATTGCAACGCCCTTTGACTCCATCTACTTCGGCCTGTGTGGCTTCAACAGCACTCTCGCGTGCATAGCAATAGGAGGCATGTTCTACGTCATCACCTGGCAGACGCACCTCCTCGCCATCGCCTGCGGTAGGTACTGCCCACAAAGTTCCCTGACTATCTTAGAAGATGCCTATGTCTATCCAGACAAAGAAAACCACCCTGCAAAAATTCTAGTGGCTGGACATGGTGTAATCATTACAGGACACACCTGTAATCCCAGCTGTTCAGGAGGCTGAGGCAGGAGAATCACTTGATCCGAGGTAGTGAAAGTTGCTGTGAGCTGAGATGGCACCACTGCACTCCAGAGCGAGACTCCATCTAAAAACAAAAAGCAACACTATTTTCACTGAGTACACAATGCTGAGTCACATGAAGACAGGTGGTGGAGGTTTGGTTATTGTTCCTGGGCTGCCTCCTATGATTGCTACTCTCCTGTCGGGGGCTGGAGCAAACTGACCAAGCAACTCTTATGCAGGTTATTCCTTACACATGGAATTGGGTGATTTACATCATCTACAGTAGCCATTAGCCTTAAAGTCCCAAACATTAACCACAGGTCCTTCAAATGATCCCTGTTGGTTATATATATTCGTTCAGAGTCCCAGGAAATTAGATCAACGGTAACAATTTGTTAGATTTATATGTCCTCATCCTTGACCATCCATTATTTCTTGATGTTATATGAGTGGAAACCAAAAAAAAAACTCCTTTTGAGCAGGAGGACATTTAAAACAGAAGTTCTATTTCAGTATATCTATAGATTCTGTGAACATTATCTATATAAACTTATTATTTTTAATAAATTTATAATAAAAATTTTCCAAATAGTCTTTGCTAGGGAAGATGCTCTGGATGAGCTATGGCTATATATTTGTTTCCTTAAGATAATTTGTAGATATATTTTCTTTTGCAAACTCTAAACAAGATGCAAAGGGTAAAGCTGCTCTATTTCATTCGTTTTTCTTAAAATTATTTTTTGCTACCCCAACCTAAGGCCAGCACATTGTAGTTACTTAAAAAAAAATAGTGTCTGTCATATTGCCCAAATAGAAGGTAGCCATTCACCTAACATCCACCACAACGTAGGCAATTTAAATACCTCATCTCTACCTTTAACACTAATTCTTCAAGGTTGGTATTACTATTCACATTTTGCAAAGAGGAAAAGTGGCATCAAAGAGCAAGACTAGGATGAGACAAGAAAGACACCTGGGATGCAAAATGTAAGGAGGTACTTACTCTCAGGGCCAAGCAGGTGATGACTGTGACTGACATACCCCACCCCACCCCCACCCTGAGAGTGAGGGCCACCTGAAATTTTGCAGCCAGGTGCTTCACTCAGCTCCTCAAGTCCCAGCCTTGTCAAAGAGGTGAAGCAGCTCAACTGCATAGTAAAAGACAAGGCTGAGACATGAACCTAGGTCTTCCTCAGTCTGAACTCATGCTCTAAACTCTCTACCCCCTTTCCTACCATTGCACCTCTCTCTGTTCCAGAAGGCTCTGATGAATCAAGGTGCATTCATTGGTTTCAAGGAAACTGAGTCACATCATCTCCCAAAAGTGCCAATGGGCCTAACAACCTCAAGAAACATGAGAATACACTAAAGTGAAGGAATTTTAAGCCTCTTTAGGTGGATCCTTGAACCTCTAGACATACTACACAGTAGTAATGTCTGACGTTTATTGGTTTTCACCAAAATACTTTTCTAAATATTACTACATTAGATCATTTTAAGAAGCTGAAAACTCCAGCTCTATTTTGTAGCCATGGTGCCTGAGGCTTAGGGAGGTAAAAGGACTTGCCCGGGGGCAGAGGTAGAGTCAACCCTCCTTCTACAAGCTAAAGAAAGATCTGGAAGCATCCAGCAATGTACTTATAGACCAAAAATGGGAAAGCAGTCTATAACACATACAAGTGGGGTTTGGGGGCCATTTTGTTGTTGTTGTTTTGAGACAGGGTCTCATCTGTTGCCCAGGCTGGAGTACAGTGGCACAATCACAGCTCGCTGAAGCCTCAACCTCCCAGGCTCAAGAGATCATCCCACCTCAGCCTCCTGAGTAGCTGGTGCTATAGGCATGCACCACCATTCCCAGCTAATTTGTATGCATATATATATATTGCTGTCGAGACAGGGCTGCACTATGTTGCCCAGGCTGGTTCTGGGCTCAAGTGATCTGCCCGCTCAGTCTCACAAATAACTGTTTTTAATAGGTTTAATGAAAATAGGAAGTTGAGGCCATGTAGAAAATCTGGAAGCTTACGTGCATGTAGGGCCCATTGATAGGCAACCACGGGACAGTGCGAGCAGGAGGGACTGATAGCTCCTTCATTAGGCAGAACAGTCCCACTGGAAATAAATGTCACAGTGAATATCTTAAATTAACTAACTTCTTAATAGGCCAGCATTTTTACATGACCTGAAACCAGATCTATGCGTTAAGTTACTTCCGTCCATAAAAATGTCCCAATGACTAAAATTCTAAATGCTCAGATATCTTTAAAATTAGTAGTCATTTATATTATTAAATTGGTTTGGCCTTTATCCCATTAAAAATAAAAAGTCTGAATGATAGAAATGAAAAGTCAAGGAGTCCTGAAATGTTTAAAGATTCAGAGTCAAGACTCTGCCACTCTAGGCTCTCTCGGTGGCCCATGAACTCCACATAGGATCAGAGCAGGTGGCCTGGTTTGCTGGGGGGAGGGTGGGGGGGGCTGCATCCAGATCCTGGAGCTGTAACTTCTGTCCAGAGTCTCAGAGGACAAGGACATCAAGGATGCCAGCTGGGAAAAGACATTACAGGATATCCCTGGCTACCAACTTTAAGTTCTGCTTATTTACTAAGGAATATTCATGTTCAACAAACAAATCTTAAATGCCTAACTTACGTCAGACGTTACCTTGGTGGTTCTCAACCAAGGTGATTTTCCCCTTCCCCAGGAACGTTTGGCAATGTCTCATGACATTTTTGTGTGTCATACCTGAGGTTGGGGGAAGTGCTATGGGCATCGAATGGGTAAAGGCCAGAGATGCTGCTAAACACACCACAATACACAGGACAGTCCCCCGCAATAAAGAATTGCCCCATCCGAAGTGTCCACAGAGCCAGAGCTATGAATTTGGTACAGGTCATCTCTTTTAATCTTCCCTCCAGCCCCGTAAAGTATGTGGATATTAATAACCTCACTTCACAGATGGAGAAATGAGTCTAAAGGAAGCGAAATACATTGCTTGAAGTCAGGGCTGCCTGACTGTAAAAGGCAGTGCTCTTTGCAGGACACCACACTGTTTCCTGAAGCCAATGCTTTTTCTACCTGTGACAAAAATCCAAGCCCAGAACAGTCAGGCCCTTTTCCATCATCACACGCCCAGTGATGGATAGGACAGGCCAGGTGGCCAGACATCCTGAAGCAAAGCTTCCTTCTATCCTTCCTCCTCCCCCGCTACTCTGAAAGCCCTACAGCCACACAGGAGCCCACACAAGGTTTTCAGAGGGTTTTCCTGCTGTAACAACACCAAATTTGATAAAATAATAGCCAACATCAGTGGAAGAGAGAGAATGAATTCTTTGGCTCTGGGTCCCAGGGAAGACAGACAGAGTTGGAGTCTTCCATTCTTCACAGAGCAAGCCTAGAGTCCTGCTCAGACCATCTGGCTTCCCTCTATTCTGGGGCCTTGGTGGTGCTTGGTTTGCCCCCTCTTTCCAACCTCAGATCTGAGAGGCTAGTTAAGAGCCCACTCCCAGAACAACATGGCTGGTCTACCATTTGTTAGCCATGTAATCCTGAGCAAGTTGCTTGAACTCTCCATGCCTGACACTAACAGTGCCCAACTTCTATAGCTGTTGTCAGGATCAAATTCGATCATTTGTGAACATGAAGAGAATAATCCTGACACATTGGGACTGTCCAGTAAGTGCTGAGCTCTATTATCTCTAGTTGAACGATGTATGTTAATGAATGAGGGTTCAGCGAACACAAAAGATGGCATGAGCTCCTATTCCCTCTCAGAGAATAAGCTGCTTGGTGTGACCCATGAAATCCATCGATAGCCCCACATTCTACTTTATATAACTCATTAACTAATTCTCTTTTATTCATTTGTTTGTTTCTTGAGACAAGGTCTTGCTCTGTCACCCAGGCTACAGCACAGTAGCATTACTATAGCTCACTGCAGCCTCAAACTTCTGGGCTCAAGCCATCCTCCTGCCTCAGCCTCCCAAGTAGCTGAGATTACAGGTACATGCCACCAAACCAGCGAATATTTTTGGTTTTTGTAAAGATGGTATCTTGCTTTGTTACCCAGACTGCTCTCAAACTCCTGGGTTTAAGTGATCCTCCCACCTCGGCCTCCCAAAGTGCTGGGATGACAGGCATGAGCCACCGCAACCAGCCATGTAATTCATTCTTTAATCTCATCTACTTTCCGCTTTGAATTTCCACCTCTGAAACATTAGGGACTTCTCCAACTGAAATACAGGCCGAACAGTCATATGATTTCACCTCTCTGAGCTTCAGTTCTCTCATGTGTGAAATGAAGACTAATAATGCTCACACTGCAGGAATGCCAAAAGCTATGGTAGTATCGCTACTAGCTGGGCACACAGTAACCCTCTAATAAAGGTTTGCTCTTGTTAATATAATCCTAAGGACAACTGGGATGCTCTCAGTGAGAAATTAAGGGTTTGGACACAAAGGTCAATTACTCTAGCACATTTTAATAGCTTCTCCCCTGTTGCCAGCGCTGGGCTCTTTCCAGTGGCCAGTTTCATCATGCCTTCCGCAGAGCCTAGACAGCAAGGCACTGGGCATGTCTAGTCTTCCTCAAGCTTTCAGAATGCTGCTCCTCCCTAGAAACTCATATTATGTTAATAACTTGTGATGAAATATTCCAGTAGGGAGTTCTGGGATTCACTTGCCTTTACTGTATAGTAAAATTTTCATTTATGGTTTATGCTGTTAAATGTTCCTTTACTGGAATGCAAGGTGGTGGGACCCAAGAGAACCATAACGGCTCAATTTCTGGCCCTTTTTAACAAGTTCATCTGCTGTCTTTGCTGTGCCGGCATTTGCATGGAATTTAACACTTTCAAAGCTGCCAAGCAATAGAAACATGACTAATTTTTTAAAAATCTGAGAGATAGCATTTGTGGCATAAAATTGATGGGAAGAGAACATGTAGACTAATCTTGAGGTGCTATTAAATAGTTACTGGTCTATTTCTTATTTTTTCTAGCACTGTTTGCTGCCTACCTGAGTGCTGCCCTGGCTAACATGTTATCTGTGGTGAGTCAACACGGGCTCAGAAGATGTCTACAACATCTTTTCTGGTGTCCTCTTGCTTCCCCAAACCTGCTGAAAACCTCTCTCCTCTATGAACCCTTCCCCAATTCATCTCCCTTATTTCAAGTCACACTATTCACCTTAGCACCAGCTAGACAGAAGAAGCCAGGCCCTAAAAGTTTACATTTCAACTGTGGGCCAATCCATTCCTATCATCAGTAGACCAGGAGCTCCTTAGAGGACAACTGAGGAGCATTATCTTACAAATCAAACTCCTTTCCATCATCTTCTATAAATATGTTTAAATCTTTATTATTCAGTTTGTGTGCATCCATCCAACTAGCCTGTGAGCCAGCACGTATCTTTGTCCCATGGCAACTTGACTCCCCTTGATAGAAGAAGGGGAGTCAAGCCCCAGCCAGGCCTGAGTGAAGCCAGAGCTGTGGCTTAAGGTCACCAGCCACAGTCTGAAAACCCCTTCCTCATCTGGGCTCCAGTGTCGGGTGATGTGTGAGGTCAGGAGGAGCCGTGCTGGCCCCCCGCCCCAGTGCAGACGGCTCAGGGCCCCACTTGCAGTTGGTGTCTCCCCTTCTCTGATAAGGGCATAAGGGCACACCTCGCATGGGTAACTAGAAGTCCAGGTGATGCTGCAGATAAGGATGGGAGGGACATTCTATTCACACATGCCTAAATCTCTCCCTCCACCTTTAGTGAAAATGAATGGTTTGGACTTAGCATAGGAAGGAATGTTTCTAAGCAGCAGAATTTGCCTTCCCTGTACTATCCTGTCTCCCCCAGTGAACTAAATCTTTCTTCTGGGCCTCACTGCATTTGTGCACACCTCGGCTAAACACCTGATGTCGTACAGTTTAGTGATGAGTCTAGTACTCATTGGTCTTCTTCCACCCTTGGCCAGTGCTCTCCCTTGGAACAAGGAGCCTATCATATTATCTTTATCTCTAGTATCTGTTACAGTCTTCAACACATAGTAGGTGCTCAAGAAATAAATACTGGATAAATGAAGCCCTAAGGTAGTGAGCCTCTACAATGGGGTGTATTAGAGCGAGGCCTGAATAGCAAAGCATCAGAAATCCTGAGAGGGAAGAAGAGCATGGAATATGGGCTCTGAGGCTCCCTTCAGACTTTATCCTCTCCTCCTACACCCATTCATTCGCTCAATTGTTCATCCACTAAATCTGTCAATTCCTTGACAACGCACTGAAAGAAATGCAAAATGGGAAGCTGTGATTCCTGATGATACATGTTTACAGTGATGACTGGCCCTTCCCTCTGTTTTCAGAGAAGTTACAGATTAGACCACTCAATTTAGACACTTTTCAAAACAAAGCCAAGTTTACCCCATTTGCCCGCTATGTTTAAGACATCGTGCTGACCACTGTCTGGCATACAAAAACGTATGGGCTGTTAACTCACGTTGAAGGGATATCCCATAATGTCATTGAGGAACAGGATATAAAAAATGTTGAACAATATTTATGGGGCCATCCAAGCCCTCCTCAGAAGAGCATAAAGGAGCTGTACTCTCATTTTCTAACCGGCACATGTATGTACAGTGTCATGTCTTCAACAGTGCCGCCATCTACTTGATGATAATAACAACATATTTAGGATCATTTGTATTGAGTACTTAGTATACACTAGGCACCAACTCTCTGAGTAGGCCTTATTATTCCTATTTCACTCTTGAGGTCTCAAAAAGATTAAATGGCCATAACAAGATGATCTGGGTCTGTGGAACTCCAAACCAACATCCTTCCCAATGTAGGACTCCGAGGGTGCTTCCCAAACACCTTGTGCAGTTCCAAGGGGCCTTAGAAGACTTGCTGAAATGGAACTCATCACTCATGGGCGCCCCTTACAGCCTCAGCGCTGGTAGCAGGCTGTCTTTGTTGTTTCCCAAGACCCAGCCAACAGTGCCATCTGTGGACACACACAGGACTGGCATTGTTACTCCCACAATAGTATCTAAGTTTTAACTGTTTGTAATAAGGTGACGTTTTGGCAAGAGGGGGCATATTTGATCTGCCTCGTAACTGAAGTTGCAGGCTCATTGTGAGCAAACTATCCATTCAAGCTATCTCAAAGAGTGGAGAAGAGTGCTAAAAAGCCTTAGAGCATCTCAAGAAATAAAAACAGGTCATCATGAGAAAAAGAGCTAGGGATGGGAGAGCCCTTGAGAAGAGAGGCAGCTGCGTTGTCTCCAGCTCCCTGGGACAATGATACCACACCTTTGCCTCTCTCCATCTCTCTGCTCACTTTCCCTGTGTCTCTGTGGTGGGTTTCTTCTACTGCATACATCCCCCATTGGCCACCATGACTGGTTTGTTCTCCAGTTCTTTCAGTTCCAGAACCATGCAGACACCACTCTATGCCTCTTAGTTCAGCTTCTCAAGAGAGGGATCCTGCTGGCCAAGGGGACGTTCACCTGCCTATGGGAAGTAGTGTTTCAGTCGGGTGCCTATCTCTAGTCCAATCAACTATGATCAAAGAAAAAAAGTCTTGAGCTACCAAATGGCTGCCAAAGACACTTCTCCAACAGGGGCTGATGAGAGAAGACACGGGATAGCCATAGTTCCTAGAGTTAGAAGTCTAACCTGGCCAGAAACACAGCTTCTGACAAAGCACACCCTCTACAAAAGGCATATGATGCTTTGATGACTTCTACAGAAGGGCATGTTAGCCCCTATTAGGGTTCCAGTGGCTGCATTTTGAAGACTGTGTATTCATGTTACAATGCAGATGAAAAGCACTGGCCTGATTTTATTTGGTCATCAATGAAATATCTTTATCAATGCCCACAAAGGAGCCCCTTTTGTCCCCAGGGCTGTAGGTGATTGATAAGGGCTGATTAAACCAGCACAAGCACCTAATGTGACCAAGACTTATCTGTGTTCTTTCCCCCCAGTTTGGATTGCCACCCTGCACTTGGCCCTTCTGTCTCTCAGCTCTCACGTTCCTGCTCCTGACAACCAACAACCCCGCCATCTACAAGATTCCTCTCAACAAAGTCACCTACCCAGAGGCCAATCGCATCTACTACCTGTCACAGGAGAGAAACAGAAGGGCATCAACCATAACAAAATACCAGGCTTACGACATCTCCTAAGTTTCCCTCTCTAAAACACATCACTGTAAATTCAGCCTTCAGCCGGCAGTCCATGTCACCAGGATAAGGGGCCACTTATCCTTCTTTTGGTCTGTTCTGTGACACTCTCCCCAAGCACAAAGAAACATGTATGTAGTCACTATTCCAGAACCTCTCTTTCTAACATGCACAACACTCATCAAAGATAAGATTAGTCTAGTCTTTATGCCCATAGTTTGTCCCGTAAGAGCTCGCTCTGTGGGGAACTTGCCCTCTTCTACAAAACAAGCCTCGTCCGTAAAGAGAAGTCACAAAGAAAGGGATAGAGGTCAGTGACATGGTCACCCAACTCGGTCCTTTAATATAGCAAAGCACAGTACCAAGAACCGTGCCTTAGCCTGGAAGGCCAGAGGGCTGATTCTGCCCCAGCTCTGCTGCTAATGAACCCTACCATGTTGAGTAAGTCCTTCCCCACTCTCACCCTCACTTTCTTAATCCGTTTCATGACAGGGAGGGATTTGAAAGTCCTTTCCACCTCAGAAATGTTGATTATTCTCTCCTACAATCTGATGAAGTCAGCATGACAACAAGTAATTACTTTAAGTAAAGGACAGAAGGGTTGCCCAAGAAGAGACAGGAAAATGTTAACAAAGGTTTATTCTTGGGTCATTTGAAGGCTCTCTCCAGACTTGGGGTTAGGAACCTAAATTCACTGAAAATGCCAATGTGCTTTCCTTTACATTATAGAAATATGTCTGGAAGTGTCAGATGAAAACTGATCTTTATCAACACTCAAATCATATTATAAACAAATATATTTCCCTTTGTAATATTCATCATCATACTCTCAGTAAATGATTTAAATTTGCAAGACGGCATCAGGGTTTTCTTAAAATGGGCTCACCTAGAGGTTCATACATTGCTCACTTGAGGGGCTTTCCATGGTCAAGCATGTGCCTGAAAAGACACAAGGATGGGCTAAAAATCATCAGAACAGGGTTTGATTTGCTTACGGAAGAAATTATACAGAAATGACCTTGGACATGGTTTTCTGTTTGAGTTGAAGCACAGATTGTTTATAACCAACCTCACTTTTTAGAGCAGTGTCTTTTAGCTTTGTGCCCCCAAACTACAAGCCAGTCTGGAGTGGCCAGTAACTCTTCCTCAGTCACTCTGGTTATAGCTTCAAGCTTCTAAGCCACAAACCTTCTTTGTGGAACTCCACGTGGCCTGGCCTTCCCGCCCCTTCTACAGAGCGGAATGAACCCCTTTGCCACAGCAGGGCCTCCCACCACCCCCCAGCATGCACGCACTCCCAGCTTAGTGTCATGGGAATAAGGACACAAGAGGGAATGGGGGAGGAGAGGGGGGACAGACCGTCTATAACCATAGCTTTAAGGAAAGAATTACATTTTAGCAAATCCATCATTTAGAAAAAGTTAATTTCTATGTTTACCTTTTCTCAATCTGCCCTTAGCAGCCCAAGAGCACTGAGCTGCATATTTCTCTTCCAGATCATATCTAGCCTGTATGATTTCTCCAGGAAAATGAAGCAGTTAAGGATGGAAACAAATCCTCCACATAGAAAAGGCAAACGAGTCACACTCCAGAGGCTACCTCTGAGTTTGCAATCACACCTCAAGGCCAAGAAGGTCTCAGGCTGTATTTTAATGACCATGGAATTAGTGCTCTCTGAGGATTAAGCATCCAGGAATTTCACCAGAAGGCTGTTTATGCTCACAGCTCACTCAGTTGCCCCAGAACTTCCAAGTGATGATAACTATTAAAGTACCAGTTTTCATGCATTTTCCACCAAAGTGTTATAACCTGGTTTTATTAAGAGCAGGAAACCCTTCACGTGCATGCTGTTCTGGTTATTGACCACTAATAAAACCCTTCAGCTGTTCAAAGTATTTCAATATCCTGGCCTATAAAGCAAGCTGAGTTGGCCCAAGCAAAGTAGAAATAGATGGGGTAGAAGAATTTGACCTGTGAAAACATACAAGGTCTATTGCATACCAAAGTAGCCAGTCCAGCCCAGCACTTCAATTAAGCACCAACGGTGGAGAGCTAAGCTGGCTCCACCGGCTCCTGAGAGCCCACTGTGCACGTGGGCACATTCCTCCCCATGCCATTCAGTGACATCACATTGATAGCTTGAAACCGGCTATGGTGGGAGTCTTTACATTACAGAAATCAGCAAACTCTACAAATCTGAGCATGCGCATAAGACACCAACACATGTTTTACCAGCATACACACAAAGATATACAGGAATGTGAGAGGGAAAAAGGACTGGGGTATAAAAATAAAAGGACTTACACACCTATATATCCCAGAGGGGGGCCTTGTATGGGACCGTGAAGATATGCTGGAGACTAAAACACATGATTAACTCAATCGTCAGGAAAATTTTTTAACTGGTTGGGGCAGTGTGTGTGCTACATATATGTACACATATGCACACGCATACATGTACAGCTTTTTTTTTTCCTTCACTGAAGTAGCCCATTGAAGGCACATAATGGCCCTGAGAAATAGTGACTAATTGACTGAAACACCCTCCTACCCCTCTGTCTCAATGGAGCTGCTTTTCTATTTTCTCTACAGAATAGACTCAGTAGAGAGAATAGACTCTCCCTATTGGCTGGAATTGGAAAACTGTTTCATGCACACAACAATGTACTTAGACACACAGGCTCCCAAGTAGGCCAACTGACTTGCCTCCAAAACTTACTGCCTGTAGGCTTCTCCCAAAACATTTGTGCAGGGTTCAGAGGAAGAACTTTTCAGAGTGGTGCATGGCATCTAGCCCTCAGCATTCCATCATTTTATGAGAAATAACGTCAAGGCTCTTTTGCAAATGGTCTTCTGCAATCATCCTTTCATTACGGAGCCTTTATGATTCAGACTCTTAAACTATATAACGGTCTCAGGTGAGGCGCAGGTAGATAGACAGTAGACGAGGATTTCTCAAACTTGAGCATGTATCAGAATCACCTGGAGACCTGATTTAACACAGGTTAGCGGGCCCTATTCCAAGAGTGTCAGTCAGCAGACCTGAGGCAGGGCCTGAGAATTTCCTTTTCTAACAAGTTCTCTGCAGATATTGATGCTGTGGTCTGGGGGCCCATACTTTGAGAGCCAGGAGATAAAAATAGGATGCTGCCTCCACTCATTTATTTCCCTTTCATTGCATATTGTAATGCACTGGTTGCAATTCTAAGAACAGAAGAACTGGTTGTGCATCTGAGAATCGTCTGCAAGGCTTATTGAGACACACATCCCTGGGACTCAACCTCAGAGATTTAGATTCACTAGATCTACGTGGTACCAAAAATCTGAGCTTCTAACAAACTCAATGCAACCGGATCCAGGTCCAGAGATCATTACACAGGTCCTTACTCTTGGCTAGATTAGGATCCTCTGATTCTGATGCCCAGGCCCTACATCAGGCCAATTAGGCCAGCAAAGGGTCTGGGCACAGGTAATTTTGTTAAAGCTCCTGGGGTGATTCTAACATGCAACCGGGGCAGAAAAACAACTGTGCTGCCTATTTCTTGGACCCCAACTGTTTCAAATTTGAGTCACTCCTCAGCCCTCCGTTAACCTCCAGTCCCCATCCTCAGTCCCCAAACGGGTTCGGATAAGGGGTAGTAGACCTGGTATGGGGTGCAGTAAGAAGCACTGGGCACTGAGGCAGGAGGAGCACAGACAGCACAGAGAATGCTCCAAAGAGAAGTTTGTCTCTTTCTCACTGTTGGGGGCCAGCCCTGCACCCCAAAGAAAACTAGATAAATAAAACCACTAACCAGAAACATCCGGCTCAGTAGGCTGAGCACAAAAGCAAGGTTTCGCTTTGGCCCTAGAAGCCTGCTGAGTGAGCGACTTGGCCCCAGGAAAGTGGAGCAGAGGGTTGTCTGGACCCCTCCGACCATACTGGCAGAGCTGGCTAGAGGTCAGAGGTGTGGCCCCAGGTGAGATGCAGCAGGTGTGCCCTATGAGCAGGTAGGATGGAGTAAGGTTTGCCCTGGAATGGGGCAGGAGGTGGACGTTGGAGGAAATGGTGATGGCAGCAGCTGTTGCAAGAGGGCAAGCCAGCGGGTGGGTGGTGGGCATAGAAAAGCAGCTCCATTGAGACAGACACGCAGGGAATCCTGCGCAGGCAGACATCCGCCGTCAGGGGTTAAGGAGGTGGAGAAAAGCAGAACATGGGGCTACACAGAGCGCAGGTGCTGGCGGCCCGCTGATACTGTAACATGAAGAGGGCAAAAGTAACAACAGTTTCAGTGGTGGGGTGAGGCTCCGCCCCTCTGCGATCTGCCTGGTGGGGCCAGGGCTGGAGCTGGGACAGGAATGGGGTGGCTCTGCCTCCTTTCCTCAGCGCTTCCTTCTTGAGGGGTCAGTCTGGGTCACTAGAATCCACCTGTCACTCACAGCACAGCCTAAGCAGTAGTTGCAAGGTGTGTCACAGGGTGGGGAAATGGGCCAGTCGGGCGGCAGAGCATTACAACCCCTGGTGTCCAGGCAACAGCCCAGACCAGCTCTATCAGAATTTTAGGGGCAACCCAGGCCTGGGTGTTTTCCAAAGCTCCCCAGGGGGCCCCCTCAGTAGAAGGTAGGGGAGGCACTTGGTGCTGGGCAGTGCTGTAGGGAGAAGATTCTCTAGAGAGCTCTCAAGTGAGAGGAACCCCAGGCAGCATGATTTTGTCAAGCAGAGATTGTCTCTGTCCCTGGGGTCAGAGGAGGCCTGTAACCATGCAGTTCTTAACCGCTGGATCTGGACAAACGTAAGCTGTGCTCTTGGCCCCGCTAGAGACCTATAAATCCTATTCTGCTCATCTGTGTGTAGTTCTTGGTGGTTTTCTCCTTTTTTTTTTTTTTTTTTTTTTTTTCCTGAGATGGAGTCTTACTCTGTTGCCAGGCTGGAGCACAGTGGTGCAGTCTCGGCCCACCGCAACTTCTGCCTCCTGGGTTCAAGTGATTCTTCCACCTCAGCTTCCCGAGTAGCTAGGACTACAGCATGTGCCAAACACCCGGCTAATTTTTGTATTTTTAGTAGAGACGGGGTTTCACCATGTTGACATTGTGATCCACCCGCCTCGGCCTCCCAAAGTGCTGGGATTATAGGCATGAGCCACCGCCCCCAGCCCAGTTCTTGTTTTTAAGCTTCCAAGGAGTCATGGATGCCCAGCTAGTTTCTAACGACCCTAGCACACAGCAAGATGGAGAGCTCAGGACACAAGATTAAAGTGACAATCTAGAGGGCAGGACAGGGACGCTGGGCTGTGGCTGGAGCACCCACCACCATTCCTGGGCCACAAGCCACCTTCAGGGGCTGAATTCCTGTTCTCCCAGGCCCCACCCTGGCTCCTTGGCCTTAGCCCCAGGTTCTCAACATGAACAGACTGTGAGCTCCTTGTGAACAGGGGTGGGTTTTGTACATTCCCCTATCTGGGACCTCTCTCCCCAGTGGAGTGAATGAGTGAGTGAGTAACAGACACTGTTATGCTAAAGCATGTCCTTGTCCTCTAAGTTATGTCCACCAAAACAGAGGCATTGCCTTCTCTGTTGTCATCTGTCCTCCCATCAGTGTCTTTCAAATCTTAATAGCTTTCGAACAAGTGGACCCATATTTACATTTTGTACTGCGTCCCATGAATTACTTAGCTGGTCCTGCACAGAGCTCTTGGTGGCAACTAGAGCTTGCTCTCCCATGGCTGCATTGAATGTCCCCCTGGGCTAGTTCTCTGCTTTCAAACTCCTTCCTCACTCATGACAGCATGAGACAGCAACACGACACCCCAATATACTCAGAGCCTCACTTGTGGGATACTCACTTGACAAGCACCCCAGGGAACAAAGGAAATGCAGAGAGAGGTGGC